GGTGCTGCTCTTCAGCTCGACTCTCCCTGCTTTGCTTAGCCAGGCGGGGTCGAAGGTCATCTTCATCCATTGGCAGAAGCCACTCCGGGCGCTTGGTTGGGCGCTTCGGTGCCTCCATGTGAGAGCGCCCCACGTTTTCCTTGGCCCTCTGTCTCCGCATTCTTTTGTACCACAATGGCAGACCAGTCTTCGACGCCGATTTGCGAGGCCGCTTACCTGAGGAGGCGGAAGCCTGAGGGCCATCAGCAACTGTGGCTGTCGGTGGTGTAGAGGGATCGGCAGGCTTCGTCGCAACACCTTCAGTGGAGGTCTCCAGGGGAGTGGTCGTAGAACGAAGGTCGGGCGTCCCAGTTGTTGGTAGCTGAGCTTTCTCCTGCTGGGCCTGCTGCTCCATCTCCTGAGGCTTAGTCGGGGAGATGGTGTCCGTGGCCGTGGAGGATGGCCCCTCTCCCGACTCTTCTGTAGCCAAAATCTTCGGCCGTTTCTTCGGCTTGGGCTTCGCGAACTCCTTCTTCGAGTCGGCCGCCACTCCCCGAGGTGGGGGCTCAGAAGGCTCCTTCGGCTGTGGCCTCGTCTTGGGTTGGGGCCTGCCCTGTGGATGGATGGGCATCGGCTTATCATTGGTCGTCAAGACGATGGATCCCACATGGAGCGTGCATCTGCCAGGCTCCAGCCACTCGGTACTCGGGGATCGTGACTTCCTCCTCTTCCTTGGGCAGGTCTCGGGAGGCTTTGATGACCTCAGTCGGCTCGCTGGCGGATCTTCACGACGAGGTGAGGGCTCTGCGGTCCAGGAGCGGCCTCTGTTGCCAGAGGTGCGATCAGCAGTGGGGGCCCTGTCTGACCTTCTCTGCGGCCTCCTCTTCATAGTGGGTCGCAGCTTGAAGATACGAGGAGGCTTCTTGACCTTGTCGGCCGGCTCCTCTGCTTCGCCTCGTAGACGTCGTTGTTCAGCCTCCAGAGCCCGTTGCTGGTCACGATGCAACGGTTTGGCCGGCACGATTGTAGAGTAATCGGCCCAGCCTAGCAACCATCGTGCTGTGAAGCGAGTAAGGGGCGGGGGATATAACTTCCATCTGAGGGGGACGGACATGCCGTCGTCCCCCTCAAAAGACCTGATAGGCCCCGGTCGAAGGTTTCTGAGGGCCACAGTAAGCAGTTTTCCCCGTGGGCCATGCCTGGAGTCCGTCAGCATCACGTTCCTCGTGTCATCGTCTCCTCTGAATGCAGCTGCTCCGGCCGCTGCCGGCAAGATAACTGCATGAGCTCCATGGAGACGCACTCTTGACCCTCCAGTTATGACAACGTTCGCCCCAACTGCATATGGATCCTCCTCCTGCTCGCCCTGGTCCTCATCCTCCACGGTGACTGTCTCAGTCACTTCTTCTTCACTCACAATCTCGCAGGGGCCATGGTCCTCAGGGCTAGGCACAGTCGCTCGAGAGCCTCGCCTTCTGCGCCCCATGGTGGGGGGCTGTGCTAGGAGAACTTGAGCCCAGGGAGGAGGCAGACGAATCTTGGATGGCTGCAGAGTCGTGGTTGCATATCCCTTGTGCTGTGCAGTAGCAGTACTCAGGTCTGGCTGAATCTTATTACTGGAGGCACTACCTGAGGTCGGAGGCAAATGAACTGAGGCTTCGACTCGTAGGGTGCAGAAGACGTAGTCGGGATCTGGACTTCGGATGGATCTATTCCTGGGTCCATTCCTGTCACAGGGCTGTATCTTTCGTGTCCAGGGTACAGATCGCAGTCCTGCCAGAACCTTCAGCGGAAGCACCATGTGTGGGACCTGGGCATCAGGTGGAAAGGGAGGTAGGAGCGCCCGAGGCAGATCACTCTGGGATGCACTGTTGGAGAGGCCCTCTTTTGCACAGGCAAGTCGAAGAGCATGGGAAGAGCTCCGCAGGCAGTCGGCGTGCTTCAGTTGAGCAGCAAAATACAGGCCAGATCTGTACCTCCTTGGCAGCCTGCTAGGTCGAGGGCGGGGCAGGCTGGATAGTGATGGTAATAACCATTCCTGGCCATGGCCCCACCAGTGCTGCTCCAGTTGGTACTGCTGCCTTTGCTCGCACCGGCATGCCCTTGGCGGTCGGTAAAGGCATCGGTGGCAACGGTGGACGGTGTCCGGCTGTAGCTGCAGAAGGAGGGATAGTTCCAGCAAAGTGAGCCGCCGGCGTCGAGAAGTGCCCTGGCATTGTCGGGGGTGCGAAGACCGGGCCCGGTGGTAGCAGGCCTGTAGGCATAGCCATGGAGGCCCCGGTTCCAGTTCCAGCCAGGGGAGAGCTCGGTCCTGCTGAGTGGCCCTCTGTCGAAGCTGCTGTTGGTGGCGGTGGCCCCTCTGGTCGTCTGGCAAAATGCCCTCCGCTCGCTGGCCCTGTGCTGCCACTACCCACGCTTCCTCTAGGAGGTCGGATTCGAGGAAATGAGGGATCATGCACTGGGACTGCTGGAGGCGGCCCTGCTGGCTTTGCTCCCACAGGTGGGGGAGCGGCATCATCTCCTGAGGAGCTTTCCAGGAGCCTTCTTGTGGTCGAGCTCTCGGTGTCTTCGTCAGCCTCCGCCTCAGCAGGTCCAGAGCTGGCCTTGGGTCTGGCCCGACTGGCCCTCGATGCAGGACGCTTGCGACTGTGCCTTGGCGGCATGATCTCGACAGACCGCAGAGAGGGGCTCGCAGAGGTGCTTTCCTTGAGCCAGGACTGACGGGTGCCATGAGAGAGGCAATCCTGTAGCAACGTCGCTCCTGCAGCTCTGTAACAGTTGCTTTGACGAGGCAGTCTGAGATGCTGGCCAGGCTGAGATCGGCAGGTAGTCCGCTCTATGGGGAAGTCCCAGCACACTCAAGAGACAATATAGCAGTGCTCCCATCCTGCAGCCTACAGCCAGGTTTCCTTGCGAGAAGCGGACCTTCTAGAAGACACTCGTTATGTTCAAAAGTCAGGGCCCAGTTTTCCAAAATCATCTCAAGCTGAGAGCCAGGGGCTTAGTAGCAGGAGCAGTAGGAGTAACAGTAGCAGCAGCAGTAGCCGTCGTCGTCGTCGTCGTCGTCGTCGTAGTAGTAGTAGTAGTAGTGGTGGTGGTGGTAGTAGTAGTCATGATAATAATACTACTGCTTCTTACTACTACTACTACTACTACTGCTGCTGCTGCTACTACTACTACTACTACTACTACTACAACTACAACTACAACTACTACTACTACTACTACTTCCTGTGGAGCACGTGTGGTGTATGTAGTGCAGCGTAGCGTAGCGGAGTGTGGTGTGCTGTACTGTACTGTAAGGGACTGGGAACAGGCCCGGTGCCTGACGCCCATGCTGCCAAAATCTCAATGTCAACGAACTTCGTCCACTTTGGAAAGACATTGTAACGCAGCCGCAACCCTTTATACCAACAACCGCTTCCAACCAAGTCAGGGTCGAGTGGCAGTCTGAGACCATAAGTCGGCGGTGACCTATCGTCGCGCTACATGCTCTCGTTGTTGGACACTGGGGCTTCGAGTTTAGGGTTGTGGGCCGGAATGCACGACAGGTTCGGGTTCGAGCTGTCTGAACCTTAGAGTCCGACAGGTTGTGCTTATGCAATCGCAGAAATTGCAACACTCCGTGCTTCGTTTTCATGATGCTAATGCTACTAATGTTGCTAAAGACCCGACTCGAAGCCCTCCGTCTCCTCAAAGTGCAGCGAGCTCACCTACACCTGAAACCACAAATTGCTACAAATACCCAAAACGGTGCCCACCCACCTCCAGCCAGTCCCCGACCTCGAGCGGCCTTGGGAGAAGGGGCTCGCATGAATTTATATTTCGACTTCCAAGGAGGCTTCCGGGGTCAGGGCTAGGGCTAGGGCCAGGGTACCTCCATGGGGAATAGAAGATGGAGCTTGAGAATCAAAAGTCGTTTTCACAGAAACGAAGGATCCAAATTTTTTGATCCGAAGCTCTTCGTTTTTATCCAGAGACCGAAGCGAGCACAAGTTAAGAGGTATACAAGTCATAGGCAAAGAAGACATTGTGCCACCGGCCCAGCCAAAAGTCCGCAAGAGATCCTTCGATTTGGGATTGGAGTATTCAGGGCTGTGAAGACTCAAGGCTCCAGAAAGAATGAACTGTGGCCTAAAGCACTGAAACCTCCAGCCAATCCCGCATGCTGCGGGGTGGTGTACCACTGAACTGCTCCATATGTATGCAAGAGACAGGGAGCTGAGTTCCTTCGGTTTGATGCTTTCCACTAGAAACAAAACCCTGACCACGACGCCTAAGAGCTTGATGCGAACATCTCCCCGAAGACCTGCAACTTAACTCGCCCCCGGCACCATGTCAACTTCCCAATGCCTTAAAGCCAACAGCTCGTCGCCAAACCAATTGCGGCCTGGCTACCGTACTTGCTGCGAGCACCTTTCCACTTCCTGGACGCATTCACTGATATGGGGTTTGAGAATGCCGGCAAAGCCCAAATCCCGATAGAACAAAAGAAGACCCGAACAAAGACCTAAACGGTGGCCAAAGGCGTGGAGCAAGGATAAGGTATTCGGATGAGGTGCTTCGGAGCCCCTCACCCCGCATGATGCACGACGCCCCGCAAGCCCCGGTAGCTTTAATGTCAAGCTCGTTTGCCTGGAAGAGTATGAACTGCACCTCGTACAAACCCCGACATCGCAGATGCAAAGACAAAGCAGCAAACCCGTCACTGTCAAGCTTTGAACAAGCTTCGGTCTTTGGGCGATGGCCTTGGGTTCAAGAGGTGAGTTTCAAGGAGTGGGGACTTGGGGCTTGTTGGTTTAGGGCTCAGAGCTTGGATTCTCATTGCAGCACATATCAGTTTCAAGCCTCGTGCATGCGGATGCAGATTCGACCGGCCCGATTTGCGAAGACCGAAAAGATCTTCTGAATGTTCCTCGGCTACTTGACAGGCTGTTTGCCAAGTGCAGACACTGAAACTCTGTAGAGGCGGCCTCCGGTCTTCAGACTGACTGAGGCTTGGGGCGGCTTGGGGGTACGGCTCATGGCAGTGGATCCGAGTTGTCTGTCAAGCCATGCGTCTTCGTGCAGGGGAGGTCACAGCTGATGACGTAGCCAACGCCATCCGCACTGCAGAGTTCGCCGTCTACGAACCTGAAAGCCGGGTTTACGCCTCCACGTCTGTTTCCTGTACTTCATGCTCCTAGTAACATTGTCTAGATTTGTCTAGCATTCGCTAGACTTGAATGCTACGATTGCATCGCGGGACCAATCCAGACCAGAGAAAGAAAGACGATCACTGCCCAATTGGAATTGCACGGCTAGACCCTAGACCCTAGAAAAACAGCTGCTGCCATCGGCACTGTACAGCGTAGCGCTCGATGCCCTGGAAGTGGATCCGGTGCTCGCAGATGATGCTGAGACGCCCCTCACATCGCATCTCATTGCAAAGGGCATTGATTGAGCACAAGAGCCATCTGTGGCTGAAGATGTTAACAACGCACCTGAACCTTGAAAGAACAAGACCGGAACCCTCCTCATGCTTAACCTGTAGCCCATGCGCCTAGCTTTGACAACTGAATCTTGAAGTGTCCCGCTGGGCCCTCAACCCACGAAGCCGCCAAAACTACCCAACCTCAAAACCAGACACTTCTGAGATCCGGAATCCTTGCTGTAGCCGTGTGTGAAGGTGCGGCCATCGGCTTCCAACTCCCCCATGCTATTGCTTTTCTTGTGAAACCTCAGGTGCAGCAACTTCTGGGTTTGAACTCTTAAGGATCTCGAGTTCCCCCAGCGGAAAAATTCTGGGTTCCAGGTTGATCTGGGCAAAGTCAAGCAACGGCTGTCTACCTACTGATATGCACAAATTTAATGTACATTCTACACTGCTCAACCTGCTAAAGGAACAGCACACGTGAGAGCGTTGAGGTGCCATAGCTTTGAACTGTGCTCATGGAGCAGGACTAAGGCTTCGGTGTGAGGCTCCATCAAGGTTTTCAAGCTTCGCGGGTCGGTTGCCTGTCGCTAAACGCGGTGGTTCGGCGATGACCATGATGAGGAAGCAGCAAGGTTATCTGCCGAGGCCACAGGCCTCCGGCGTCTTGCCGGTTAAACTAAGCACCCACCACCCTGCATCCCAAAAATTGACTGACTTTTTTTGGGCACATTTTCGACCCCCGGCCCCAGCTGGCCCTTCTTCCAGTCCATTTTGACCAACTCCAAACAGTCCCCTCCCCCCCCTCCGCCCCCCCGCTCCCTGGCTGCCGTCCCCCCCCTTCCTCTTGCTCCTCCTCTTGCGGCAACACAGGCGGTTACACAGGCGGCTGCACAGGCGGTTAAAGGTTTGGTTAGATGGTTCAGCGGAGATTATCCGACAACGTCCAAGAAGGGAGACCAGCAGTAGTCGACTGATGGCCTGCATGGTGCCCTGAAGGAACGGTAAAGGCTGTCGACAAAAAGACGCTCATCTCTCGTATTCGTGACCTCCTCAATTCTCGAATGTCCAAAAGCACGTTGCTGCACGAACTGACATTGCAGGTGGTGTACAGACGGCGAGAGGATGATGCAGCCAAGAGTTTTAGGCCCTGTTCGCGCTAACCCGTCACTTGACCACAAGACGTTTTCGAGTTTTAGCTACAAAGCGAATAGCGCAGCAAGCGGTTTATCTAGATGTTGACGCTTCGTTGACTCGATGTAAACACTTCCTGAGAAGTCTGTCTGTATCTGTTATAAGTATTCACCTATAGACTGGCAGAAACACGAGGACAGCATGATGTTCCTCACATTTCACACAACCTCTTGCGGAACTCACAAGCTGCCCGGGAGGGGCTGCTGCTCTGTCGAGCCGAGGCGCGCTGCGTAGAGTTAAAATTACAAAACTCAATGTTGTGGCCATTTGTGTCGCATTAGTTAAAACCGGAAATCTGCAGCCTGGTTCGGCGGGCAAACCATGTCCGGAAGCCTGAAACTCGAACTCACACCGAACAGGGCCCAACAACCAAAGCTTCACACCGACAGTACGAAAAAGTCCAAAAGCCTAAAACCCAAAACCAATCCCAAGAACTTGGCTCCTGAGTCTTGATGCGGCCCGGGACCGATGATGGCGACCAAAAGGCGGTCTTCCAAGCCGCGAGAAGCCTTGAGCCTGCCACGAACTGAGTCTTGCAGTCTCAAGCAATTGGGAATATCTTGGAATTGCAGGGTGGTGGTGGTGGTGGTGGTGGCGGCGGCGGCGGCAGCGGCGGTGGTGGTGGCGGTGGCGGCGGCGGCGGCGGCTGC